GGTGTATTTATGGTTCGTTCTAACAGGAGAACCAAGCAATCAGAATAGACTTGTCAAAAATGGCCGGTGGAACGGGCCAGCCCGCCATCCTGGCGGGCCTCTAAATGGCCAGATCGGCCCACCCCCACCACGGCCGCGGGCTAGGGGGGCTCGCCCGCCTAATTTTTTAAAAAAAAAAAAAACCACCCCTTGGCAGCTTGGCTGCTGCAACATGCTAATCTTTTTTTTTTTTCAACAGAAAAAATCAAAATAGCAAGTAAAAAGAAATGCGAAGGCACCAAATAGGGAAAAATTGGAGATTTAGTCCTGTAAGTGGCACCCATTTGAGGTTTAGTCCTCTCCGATGACCACTTTTGGATCGCGTCCTGTAAGTGGCAAAAATCGTGATAAATGGTCCTGACACCGGCTAACGTGGGTAACTCTTACCGGCTTGATGAGCTGGATTTTTCTTTTCATTTTTTTTTTTGCGCCACGTCGCCAGAGAGTTGGATTTTTCTTTTCATTTTTTTTTTGTATGCCACGTCGCCTAAGATGTATATTGGAGGGAAAATCGGAAAAACGAAGAGACACACACACAGCCAAAAATCCCAAATTCTTGTCATTTTTCCTTTCTCAAACCCTACGAAAAAAAATTCCGACTTTCATTCTCAATCCCAATCCCAATCCCGATCCAAATTCTGCAAAAATTAAGTTGGGTGAAGATCGTGAAGTAGAGGACAATGGACAATCTAATGACGTTTAGGCCACCTGAACACTTCGACTTTGGGCCACCTGATTATGGTAAGTTCTATATTGAAATTTTTCGAGTTTTAATTTCGTGTTCCACTTTCGAAACCCTAGGTGAAATGTTTATTGTCATCTTCTATTTTGCAGTCCAATTTGACATAATCTATGTTTTTTGTTTTGTTTTGTATTGTATGCAGACTCGAAAAGCCCACTCTTCACTTTATGTGTCCATTTTAGGGGACATTTCCATAATAAGGGTGGGGAAAAGAAGTACATCGGTGGGGCAGCTTACAAGTTCGACTTCGTCCAAGAAGAGCTGATGTCTTTAGAAGCACTTTACAGGCTGGCAATTAGAGAGAAAATGGAGGGGACCATTACTTACTCGGGGAAATCTGAGGTAGGTCTCATTACTGAAATAAAAAAGGATGAGGAATTAAATGTTTTCATTAAAGGAGCTATAAATGGTTCTAGAGAGCTCTTTATTTATTTTGATAATGGGGCTAAGTGCATCACATGTGATGAAGACTCTAATGATTGGGAGATAGGTGATGAATCATTGGCAAATTATGATTATGAGGCTGAGTTGGGAGTTAAGGTTAGTGGGCAGTGTGAAAGAAAGGATTCTGAAGCTGAGGTTAGAGAGAAGGCTAGTGGGCAGTGCGAAAGAAGGGGCCCTAATCCTGAACCTGAATTGGAAGGTATAGATGATGAGAGTGATAATAGTGAAGACCTTGACTTTGAGGTTAATTCTGAAGAATGTGATAATGAGGATGATGATATTATTTTCAATGAACACATAGACTTTGAGTTGGAGTGGTGTGATCACAATACATCAATCCATGTTGGAGGTTCTGAAGAAGATGATGAATTAGGTGATGCAGATGTGGTGGAAAGTGAGGATGACTACTACAGCGGGAAGGAGTCTGATGAGGAGGTGAACAAGGATGTTGCTCCTCTGTTCAATCCACTTCAATTGTACACTCCAAGGTTGAAGCTTGGAATGGTTTTCAGCACAAAGAAAGAAGTTAGGATGGCAGTTCACTCAGATGCAATTAGGGAAAAAAGAAATGTGAAAATCACTAAGAATGACACCCTCAGATTGCATGCTAAGTGTGTTGAGCCTGAATGTGAATGGAGGCTGCATGCAGTAAAGGTTAATGATTCAAGTACATATAGAATCAGAGAATATGTCTCCAAACATTCTTGTCCAATGACCATGAATGTTAAAAATCTTAATTCAACTTGGTTGGCTGGGAGATATCTCCATAAGTTCCAGTCAGATCCTACAAGAAAACCCCAAGGATTCAGAGTTGATTGTGTGAAAAGTCTAAGGTGTAATGTCACCCCATTTCAGGCATAGAAGGCAAAAAAACTTGCTTTGAAGCAGCTTGAAGGAAGCATAGAGGAACAATACAAACTGTTGTGGGCATATGCAAATAAGGTCAGAAGATCTAACCCTGATTCAACTGTGCTAATTGGGCTGCACCAGGATCAAACATTTGAGAGGATTTATGTTTGTTTTGCTTCACTGAAGATGGGTTTTCTAAATAGGTGCAGAAGAGTTATTGGAGTAGATGGGTGTCATATAAAGAGTGCAGAAGGTGGAGTCATATTAACAGCTGTGGGTTTGGATCCAAACAACAGTATATTTCCTATTTGTTATGCTGTTGTTGAAATGGAAAATGGTGAATCATGGGGTTGGTTCTTGAGGTTATTGAAGGCTGATCTTGGAATTAAAGATGATTATGAATGGTGCTTCATGTCAGACAAGCAGAAAGGTCTTATCCAAGCATTCAATGATGTGTTTCCAAATGTTGAACATTGGTTTTGTATTAGACATATGCAAGGTAACATGAGGAGAGCTGGTTTTCAAGGGCAATCATTCAAAATAGCTGTGTGGAGGGCAGGAAAGGCCACAACTGTGAATGATTTTGTGAGGAGGATGTCTGAGGTGAAACAACTAGATGAGAAGGCCTATGACTGGCTTAAAGACAAGCCTCCTGCCCAGTGGAGTAGATCTCATTTCAGCACATTGGCTAAGTCAGACATATTGTTAAACAATCTTTGTGAGACCTTTAATGGAAACATTTTGGAGGCTAGACAGAAGCCCATTCTTACTATGCTGGAAATGATTCAGTTGTACTTGATGGAAAAATGCAAAAGGCCAGAGAGAGGGCTACCAAGAATTGGAAAAATAGTGTCATTTGCCCTAGGATTAATAAGATTGTGCAAGAAAACTTGCAGAACATTCCTGATTGTATCCCTATAAAAGCAAGTGACTTCAACTATCAGGTAAGCTGCAGCAATGGTTCCCAATTTTCTGTAGATTTATCCAATAAGACATGTGGTTGTAGGAAGTGGGATCTCACTGGAATTCCTTGTGTTCATGCCTTGTCTGCCATTAGATGTGGGGGGTTTGAAATAAATGAGTTTGTTGATAGATGTTACTATCTGGATACTTACAAAGCTGTATATGCAAGCATCTTGATGCCAATGAATGGCAGAGATCAATGGCCTATGTCCAATTTTATACCTGCCAAACCCCCCAATTTTGTGAGAGGGCCAGGTAGACCCACAACAGCTAGAAGGCTAGAACCTGATGAGGTTGTGCCAAAACAAAAGAAGAGGAAGAGAAGACAGAAATGTCTTAATCCCCACAAGATTCAAAGGCAGAAGAGTGTGATCACTTGTAGTAACTACGGTGCAAAGGGTCATAACAAAAAACATTGCAAAAGCACATCCTTAGGTGAAAGGTCTAGCCAAACTGAAACTGAATTTCCTAGTCAGGGCCTTCAAGAAGATACTCTCCCTCCTACTCCACAGGTGATAATGAAAATGATATTTTCCTTATTTGCAGTCTATGTTTATTGTTATCCTTTGCATAATTTTTTTTTTCATAATTATATAGGTTCATGAGAATACAAGTGAATTTGCTAGTCAAGTCACTCAAGAAGAAACTATTCTCCCTCCTACTCCACAGGTGATAATGAAAATGATATTTTCTTTATTTGCAGTCTATGTTTATTCTTATCCTTTGCATAATTTTTTTTTACTTATCATAATTATATAGGTTCAGCAGCATACAACATGTGAATTTGCTAGTCAAGTCACTCAAGAAGAAGCTATTCTACTTTCAACTCTACAGGTGATAATGATAGTGCATGTTATTTTTTTTTTCATAATATGTACTTAGTTACTTGCAATTTATAGGTTCCTAAGACCTCAATTCCCAATTCTAAGAATCCATCAAATACAAATCAGGATATTGCTATCCAGGTAAAGTTAATGACATTATTCATCATTAATGTGATTGAATAGAATATATATAATGTACAAGAATTTATATTTACTTTTATTTTTTTTCAGGGTGGTGCATTGAATGATGCTACACAGGAACAACCTCCAACTATATGGGGCCAACTTCAGTCCCAACAGAACAATGAGCCTGGTGGTGGATCTTCAGCATATAACATGAAGCCCCGGAAATATGTCACATTTTCAGACTTGAATGCATGTCTTGCTAAACAAAGTACAAAAATGGTACAGGAAAAGGGCAAAAGAAAGAAGAAGAATTGATGTAGAAACTAGAATTAGTGTTTTGATGAAGAAACATTTGGATGAAGAAACATTAATCAGTGTTTTGGTTATGTTATGGTTTGATGTTCTTCAGATTGTTCTTTTGGATTGGAACTGGAGTTGGCTCTGGTTAGCTTATGTTTTGGGATCTTAAACACTCAACTTTTGTGTTATAACTATGGCAATGGTGTTGGGATTCAACCTATGTTGGTTTTTTGGTTATTGATATGGTTTGATGATTAAGTGTGTTGACTATGGTATGATGGTTTAAACTGGTTATACTTATAGCAGTTTTATGATGTTTATGCCTATGGTTTGATGGTTTTATGCTGTAATGGTTCTATCTTATGCCTATGGTTTGATGGTTTTATGTTGTAATGGTTCTATCTTTGATGTTGTAGATTTGGGTTGTGATGTTGTATGTAGGCTAATCAAACACATTATAAGCATCATTGATCAACCATAACTTTTTTTTTCTTTAGTTGGAAACAAACTCACTGATGGACATCCAAGACAAACTGATCCTTAAAGATGCATTGATAACAATGTGGCAGGTGCATTGATCAAGAACAGATCCTTACACATGGAACTTCAACAAGTACTTAAAATCCCTAAATTTAAATTGCTTCATCAAGTACTTTCTTAGACAAATCCAAAACATCTTAACAAAATACAAGTACAACAATGTGTCTGACTCATTAGACAAATCCTAAACACTTGAACAAGATAATTAAGCACCAAGAAATCATTAAGTACATCTTCAATTTGCGCCTCTGATTCTCCAAAATCTTTACTTGTTTTATCAGAGTCTCCTTCTCTTCACGAAGGTTCCGGATCACATATACAGTACGTCGAGGTATTGGAGGATCTTCCCAAGCAAAAAAATCACAGCCTCCAATCTGAATTAGGGCAACAATTGTGTTTAACTTTTAATAATTTTTTTTTTTAATTTTGAAAGAAGAAGAAAAAAAATGGCAGAACGTCGAGCTTCAGTACACAATAACAAAGAGTACCTCCCAATCTTCACACCCGTTGAATCGCCTACCCGGGTTTGCTTCAGTCCACGAGGTCCACAGCTTCGCTTTCTTCCCACATCGACAGTTTGGAGAGACCCTCTGGCTACTGACCGACGAAGACATGGTAATTTGTGACTACCGAATTTGGATCGTGTATGAAATCTGCAATTTTTTGCTAGGGTTTTCTCGAGCAGCAGAAAATGGATGAAGTCTCGTCGATTTTCCCTCCAATATAACGAGCTCATCTTAGGCGACGTGGCATAAAAAAAAAATGAAAAGAAAAATCCAACTCTCTGGCGACGTGGCGCAAAAAAAAAAATGAAAAGAAAAATCCAGCTCATCAAGCCGGTAAGAGTTACCCACGTTAGCCGGTGTCAGGACCATTTATCACGATTTTTGCCACTTACAGGACGCGATCCAAAAGTGGTCATCGGAGAGGACTAAACCTCAAATGGGTGCCACTTACAGGACTAAATCTCCAATTTTTCCCACCAAATAGCAAGATTGTGTAAGTTGTAACCTCCTAAAAATCAGCAAAATGAAAAACCCAACCCCCCAACAGCAAAAATATTACACTAAACAAAAGAAAAAGAAGGCAGAGGAACATGAAATCAAATGAATAAATAAGGCATAAGTAGCAATTAGCAAATCAAATGAATAAATAAGCCATTTGCTAAAGATGAAATAAGGCATAAGTGGCAATTAGAGATGAATAGGAGATGAGAGTGAGACTTGAGAGAGTAGGGTTTGGAAATGAAATTAGCCCGTTCACCGGTTCTGTTCTATTCTCTGTACTTTGTTCTCTTTAGTCTTTTATTTATTTGTTTTAATATGTTTTTATTTTTTAATTTTAGTAATTAATATTAAAGAAAAAAAAACGTATTAAAAAACATAGATGCGGAGAATGAGATTCAATTAATACATTCCTTTCTAAATACATAACTTACACAGTTACACTACATATATTGAAAAAAAAAATATATTTTAATGGCGGGCTGGCCTGCGGCCCGCCCGCCCCGCCCAAGCCCGCGGCCCACGCGGGCCAGCCTGTTTAGGCCCGCCATTTGGCGGGCCTATAAAATGCCAGTCCAACCCGCCTGTTTGGCGAGGCGGGGCAGGTCGGGCCTGTTTTGACAATCTATACTTATATTAAAAGCTATACTATTTACTAAATGTAGTATGTAGAATAGTCAACCTTAATTAATGATTTGCTATTTTTATCAAGCATTTAATTAATGCATCTAATATTTTTGGTATGCAAATCAAATTAGCATTTAATTAGTTCCTAAAATATTGGGTATGCAATATTAATTTAGGAATATCCATCTATTTCCTAAAATGTTGGTATGCAATACATAAAAGAAGATTTTTTAATTTTTTTAAATGTAAAATATTGCAACACATAAAACTATTCCAGTTATTTTTTATTTTATTTTACATATAAAATCTAATCAATATTTAATGCATCCTATTAAATTGGATTTAGTTTAATTCTTCATACAATTGGTTATAACTTTCAGTTGTACTTTTTTTATTTATTTATTTTACACTTTTAAATTAATGAAGCTCTCTGAAAATACCAAATCAAATGATTTATGAAACTTTTTTTTTTTACAATTTTAAATCTATATACTCGGCTTAAAAAACTCATCGCATCTATATATATATATAAAGAATTAGCATTTACTAAAAATAGTAGCAAAAAATTAGGAAACATTTAATGCATACTATTTTTTAGAAATTTTTTAAATATATGCATTAGTTGTTTCTATTTACACGTTTTCAAATAAGATCAGATAATATATGATCAAATAATTGCTTAAATAAATTTATTAATATCTGCAGTATTTTCATTGATATTTATTATAATAAATTACATGTGATTTTCGTGATTCATGTCGATAATATTTTGGTCAAAATAACTATTATTTTATTAGTACTTGTAATACTTTCATTGATATTCATTATAATAAATTACAAATTGATTTATGTGATCCATGTTGATAATATTTTGGTCAAGATAATATTACACCATATTTTAAGTTTTGACCATAATATTAGTTTTTTTTTCCACAAATATTCACTTTTTATCCAAAAATATTAATGGAAAACCGTAACAGGTTAGGGAGAATTTTTTTGCCAAGTAATTAGACAAAATCAAGTTGGTGAATTAATATTAGTCAATATATTTGTTTCTTAAGCTTTATTTTGTTAAATATAAAAAAACAAATCGTTCTTCAAATTAATATAATTTACCATTTAAGAGATAATGACCAGATACAATAAATAGTTTTACTAATGGTAAAAAATTAAAATTGAAACACATTAACTATTGTTTAGAATTTATTCGTATATTATTGACACCCATGATTATATTTTTTTCATTTTTTATTTTGATTTATTTCTATAATTAAATTCTTGTAAAATATATTTTCATTGCTCAATATGTTAAATAAACCATAAATCCTTATAATGCGAATTAGAAAAATCTTGATCATAGAGGGGATCGAGTTTTTGGAATTTTCTAAATCAACATTGTTTAATTAGTATACGAAATTAAATTCTAAAAAAACATGTGTATATTTTGTAAAATATTTATACACTATTTAATATTAAATTTATTTACATATTTTAAATTGATTACATAAATAAATAATACCAACGTGTATTAAATATTTTTCATTACATAAAATAAAAATAAAAAGAAGACGACAACTTCTATAACTTTATAAATAATAATGATATTATATGACATAAAGTGTATAATAAAATAATAATTAAGTATTATATGGTAATCAAGAATAAGTAAAATTGTTATTCTCTCTTATATCAAGGAATAAATATATATACTAAAATCAAATTTAAATTAGGATAAATGTGTGAGTGAAATAATATATTAATTATTTTAATATTTTGACTAAAAAAATAATGTTGATTAAAAGAGGTACAAAATATATTTTATAACCTTATTGTTTATTATACTTAACGCTGATTAAAAGAGATGAAAAATAAATGATAATCCTATTGCTTATATACTTAAACGGACAAATCATGTGAAAACAACTCATTTAATGTTTATGCCCCGTGCATCGCACAGGGTACGTACTAGTAGATATGGATGAGTTTAAGAAAAATTTCATAACCCAGCTCATAAAATTCCATCTCCACGAGTCAAAAAAATCACATCCCTCTATCGTAACAACTTTAAAGGTAAATAAATAAAAGTCTAATTACTACTATAAATCTATTATCTATATAGATTTTTTAAAAATCTAAATTTCACCTGTCTAATTACTAATATTTTAGATACTTTTAAATATTATTTGTATAAATTTTTATACACATTAGTCTCTCTATCTATATACATATATGGAGGTTAAATGAAGAATTTTTATACATATTTTCCTTACGGGTAGTTTAGAAAAATTTAGGTAGCTTCAAACATTATTTGTGAATAATATAAAATATTTTAAATGCTTTTATAGATGTTATAAAATATTTTAAGTATTTTTAAAATTTATATATCACACTTAAAAAAAATATTTTGCCAAAAAAAAAAAATTAAATACACAGTGTAAATGTTAATAGAAACAGTCTTCAGTGTTCGTCTTTGATTTTGTCAAAACCAATCTTATAAAAATCGGTGAAGTCAAAATTTGTACGTAAAGTCTATCTATACTAAAAAAAAGATTATCTAATTGTATATAAATCTATTCTGATTTTGTTCAATCCTCTAATTGTATTTGTATTATATCTCATAAAATCGGTTTAACAAAAAAAAATTCCATAACATCCGATAAATAAAAAAGAAGTACGTAAAATCTTTACTAAAATAAAAAAGGCTTTATTTATTATCTAATTGTATGGAAATCTGTTAGTATTTTATAGTACGTACTACAAATTGTGCACCCGTGTTCAGGAGCTACTTAACGGGAAAGCTCTGTGGAAGTAACTCATTTAGTGCTTCTGTCTCGTGCATACGGAATGTGTTTGTATTACACATACTAGAAAATTGTGCACCCCGTGCATCGCACCGACTCTGTACTAATAAATGACCTTAAAATTATGCATCCCGTGCATCACCCGTGTTCACATTTTGGCCTATTACAGGTCACGTACTATATATATCCCGTACATTTTTCTTTATTCATTTATATAATTATAAGACTTGATAAATGACCTTAATTTTGTACACCCCGTGCATCGCACGGGATCTGTACTAGTTATATTAAAAGAATAACTTTTTTATGATTTCCTGCCAAAACCATTATTTTCCCTCCAAATCATTAAATATCCGCCAAAATCATTATTTTCCTTCTAAAATCATTAAATACCCGCTAAAATCATTATTTTTCCTCTAAAATCATTAAATAAATAGTTATATAGTGTTAACAAAAAAAAAAACCGGCACTGGTTTTTGTGATGTTTTTCTTTTTCCTATTTTTTTAGGTTAACAAAATAATACATGCGATGGTGTTTGTTATGTTTCCCTTTTTCCTATATTTTAGGTTAATAAAATAATAGATATTGTGTTGATTAGTTTTTCTTTTCATTTAAACTCTTTTTAGGAAGAAATGTCGAAATATTATATTTGATTTAATGTGTAGATATTTATTTTTTTTTTCCTGTTTTTTTATCGGAGGTGTTTATTAAATTAGCCTTATAATATTTTAGTTACTTTAAACAAATTGTTTAGACATTTGTTTTTTACATATTCGTCTATATATACACATATACATATATACATAATTGATGTTAAATTTAATTATTTGTAGACATGCTTTTTTTACAAAATAGTCTAGATTTTTTTTCATAATATTAAATTCAAATGTTTTTAGATAAGTTTTCTTTCTAAAATTGTTTAGAAAAGTTGTAGGTGACTTCATATCTTTTAAAAATAATATAGAATATTTTGAATACTTTTACATATACTAATATAATATTTTAGGTATTTTTTATATTAAACATACAAATTTTATATTCTATTATCCAAAATAATGTAAAATTTATATTCTCTTATACAAAATAATTTTACATTGTCTGACCCCGACACTTTAATATATAATTATTATTGTTTTCTTTCTCTTTTTAAATAGGATCAATAGTAGTTTCCCCTTCCGTCATTGAGTGACTCAAACTCGAGGTATATTTATAATATTGTTAATGTAATATTGTTACCGTGCATCGCACGGGGTACACACTAGTTCTAAATCAAAAGGAAAGAAAATATCTAATATGATGGTAAATAATTATTTAAGTATTATATTATCTCACACCGTTGATATGCATTTTTTAAAGAGTAGGGTTTAGTAACTTTTTTAAACATTTTTGAAAAGTGGCGGCAATCCTTTGAAATTCAAATAAAGAAATCTACTAATTAATGTACAAAATCATTTTGGTCAAATATTGCGGCTATTTCTTTTATTAGTTGCATAGTTTATATTTGATATATAGTATATTGACAAAACTTGCGGCTATTACCTTTATTAGTTGCATGATTTAAATTTGGTATATAATACATTGACCAAAAAAAGCAAAAGAAATTTATTTAAAATTAAAAATTAAGTAAATAATTATTCATAACTTATGGGTTAATATTAACTTAGACGTAAATGAAATATTTTTTTTATGTGAATATGTTGTACAATAATAAATTCATTATAATTAATTAAACAATATAAGTTTACATTTATACGTATTATTCACATATGTTTTAAAATAAATGATAAAATTTTACCAGTTGATGGGTCTACTCTCAGATCCAGAGTGAACCGGTGGAAAGGAGCCCAGATCTGCCTAAATCGCCTTCGAACCGCTGCTAGATCGCGAGAATACCTGCAAAAACACAACGCCGGAAGGGTTTCCGGCGTAGAGCCTCCGACGCTCAAGTCAGTATGTTAGAGAGATGAAGAGAGCTTCTCTGAGGGAGCAGCAGTAATGGAGGAGAGTATAGAATGAGCGGGAGTTAGGGTTTGGGAGTTACCTCAGCTCCTTTATATAGAAGCAAAACATTTACCTGAAGTCCCCAAAATACCCTGGCCGACTTAAGGGAAATGTTCAAAATACCCCGGTCGGTTCGCATTCCATCCACCTCCTAGTCAGCATCCAGATTCCTTCTTATCCTTGATAGCTTCATTATGATATGCTGAAGTATATAGGAGTCACCGGAGGTCTTGGAGCCTCGAGGCGTCCTAAGTCGACTTAGGGTAGTTTCAAGTCGACTTAAATCATTCCCAAACGTCGGTAGATCATGATGCGCCTATCCGTCCTTCTGAGGGAAATCGACTTATGGATGTCGACTCTGGAGATCGACTGATAGAGTCACCTGGACCTTGTTAGGTCGGAGACAGTTCCCAGGAGATTCATAGGAGGAGTCGACTTCGCGGAAGTCGACTCGATGCAGTCGACTAGAGTGGGTCGACTATCATGTCTGTTGCTCGGTTGTCTATTTGAGTTGAACCGTTATGCTTCAGTATGGCTATATCATCCATAATTTCCTACACGGGCCTAGAACGTGTGTGGACCTCATAAATAAACAACTTCAATTCAACTTTGGATAACGAAAAGTGGGAAAAGAAGGGCTGTTGACGCGTGTAAAGGGCGAAACAAAAGCCAAAAAAAAAATAATAATAAAATAGTATTTTTTTAATTAAAATAACAAATTATTGATCAACACATGTCAAGTGGGATCAGCTGTAGAAATGACAAGATGCTGACTCATTTCCATGCCTCAAAATGAACAGTTATGCCTCAGTATGCCTGTTGCTCGGTTGTCTATTTGAACACACAAATGTTCAAATATTTACATATAATACCGTAGAACCATGTTACATTTAACACATACTCTCTTTACGTTACTACAAGAATAATCATTTTTAGTGACGATAATTTTTGTCGCTATGTCGTCAGAAAAAATATCGTCGCTAATAATGTCCTAATATTGTCGCTATATGTTCGAATGTCGCCACAATAATACCTCTTATTGTGACGGTATTTTTTTGTGGCGACATAGCGACAAAAATTATCGTCACTAAAAATGATTATTCTTGTAGTGCGTACACGTTAAGAAAATATATAATCATCTCATATTAATCTAACATTATATTATTTTATATATTTATGTTATCTATATATATACATATATAACTGGAAAAGCTTGGAGGAAATATTTTTCCCTTCAAAACTAAAATGCAATACATTAAAATAATATTATTAACTTCAATGCATGATTTAACAATAAAAAAATAAAAAAAAAATGTTACACAAAAATAATTAATCTGTATTCATGATTGTATTAGAATTTACCCTCCAACTTCCCTTGGCTAAATAAATACCTCAACAACATATTACCATGAAATAAATAGTGTTAATTTTTAGGTATTATTTAACATTCAAATAATATCATAATTATTTGTTACAATTTTTTTTTTTTTTTTTTTTTTT